ATCCTTTAAACAAGGTTCTTTCATAGGGTCGTATCTGCTAGCCATTTCTTTTCCTTGTTATGTGTTATGTAAACATCACGTCACATGACACTTTGTCGATATTTTCAGTACTTTACATGTGTTATTTTTAATTGATTGATTAAACGCTAATGGATACGTTCAAATGATACGAGCTCTTCGATTTAACTGAAGCATGGACATTAATTATTCAATAACACTGCTAAGAACGTGGAGTAACAATTATTTTACATGCAATTGATATAAACATAATCATTTATAATAAAATATTACATTTCTTCTCATAGAAAACCGTTTTCGCTCTTCACTATTGATAATATTAAGATGAAGAAAAATATTTTCGAAATTAATTTATCTTCTATTTTTAATATTTTATGTTAGGAAATTCTTCAGTTAATAACGTACTTACTCTATGAATACAGATTCAATATTTGATATTTCTGCGCTGCCATTTTTTTTTATATCAAAATTCGACTGGTTAATCGATAATTCGAGTGTCCTCTTATAACTTGAAGATTTTGCAGTCGGACGATTTGCACGTCAATAGAGAATATTTCCTTTAAGATATCGTAAAAGTTGGACCAAAAAGAAATTCAGTTTGAAAATACATAAGGGAAAATATCGATGGTTTTATGAGATTCTGATAAAAATCTGTTATCTGAAAAGTATTCAATGCATTCAAATATGACTTAAGCCCTGCTACTTTTAGTGTTCAATTGCTTAAAAACGAAGCGATGTTCCTCTCTATTAACATATAACAACATTGTTTACGTGTTAATCTCAAAGGATTGTCTTACTTGTTTATTCTCTCTTATTTTTTTACTTTCCCGGTTGTTATATAATAGGAAGAAAGTATGGCAATTGTTAAAAAATTAAATTCGTGATTTTTATATTTTTTGGACTAGAAATGAAAGAAAGATTGGTGTTATCTGTATGTGTTGGAGGAACGATTTCGTTTACCCAATTTAAAGCTTAATAATTCCCGTGCCTTTCGTCTAAAATTTCTGAAATTTTGTAGAAAGATTTGTATAACAGGTTGAAATATTTCTAGAAATTTTCATGAAAATCAGGTGATTTTTTCCAGAGATATGACTTTATCCCTTTAATATCACCCGAACCAATCTGAAGACTATAAAGGGATATATTTTAAACACTATAAATTATCCAATAGTATAATTAAATATATGTTAATACCACCTATCAGTAGAACGCATTATAAAATTCCTATTGATTGATAAGGAAATTATAAAAAGAAAGAAAAAAATCCGTATATACCAACTTTAGATATGGTAATATATCGATACATATCGATTATTGAAAAATCTATTTTAGATGACATATCGGTTTTCTTATCCTTATCATCATTATTCTTATTCATATCTGAAGAAGGGGGAAGAAAAAGAACTTATATTACACAATAAAGAATATTTAATTTGGTTCAATGACAGTTGTTGAATCTTCTTAATGTTACCCCCAAAAAAACTTTAGACATATTTTAATTTACTGCTGATGCTGGAAATTGCAAAGGAAAACTGATTTGCTATTTTTACAAGATAAGTATCTTTCCATTTGCTGTTTTCCCTTAACACATTATTAACCTCTTTAAAGGCTGATCAACGCCATTATCCTGTATTTCAGTTCAAGAATTAGTTTTTTATGAGTCAATTATACTTTTTTCTTTTCTTCTACATCTGTTAAATCTTTAACCTTCTGTATCCATTCGAAAGTTTTAAGGATGTATTTTTTTTTCTAATTCAAACACATTAGTTTATATTATATAATGTGGAAGAGTGCACTGTTTTAGTAGCACTAAAAATACTTTCGAGCTACTTTAACACAGTAACTATAATTAAAAAAAGAACTCTTCGTTTCGCCATGTTAAAGAGTAGAGAGGCAAGAACACGTTGATAACTGAAGTGGATTTTTATCTTTTATTTTTTTATTTATTTTTTAATGAAAAGCATGTAAAATATATTGCAGAGTACACTTATTTTTATAAATTTGTTTACTAGTAGCTTGTGTTTTTTTTTTGTTAATTTACATCACGAGAGTTCGTTTTTATCTTCTAAAATTAAGGTTATTCAAGCGTTATCTTCGACATCACCGTCCTCAATAAATAAAAAAAAAATTTTTTTTAAGAATAATCATTAAAAATTTTACCACTTTTGGTACATTTTATTGATTTTCGACATTATATATACCGAATTCTGTTGACAAGTAAAACTTTTGACATGAAACGTTTTTGGAAAGGTAATTTGTCAAACAAGATGACATGAGAGTTGATAGACTTGTCAAGCGGATTTAAACTTCTTTTAAAAACTTCTTTTTTTATTATTCATCTTTCTATACATTCTATTTATCCTAAATATAGATTTTATAGTCCTTTAACAAGGAGTGACTTATAGGTTAACAGAGGAACAACACAAGAAAGTTTCTGTACAGACAATGGAGTAAGTCTACATCTAGCATGAATTCGCTTTCTAAAAATAATTATAAAGTTTTATCCAAAAATAATTCATGTTTTCCATACTTTCTACATTAATAAATAATTCATGAGTCACATTATAATATCAATTCTTTTGTATATTTATCTCTCAGCAAAAGATAAAATGTTGATATAGATAAAATTTGAAACTCTATTGATCCGTCTTAGTAGATTTATGGTTAAGAAATTTATTTTATGTTCCATCACAAAAGAAACTGAAGTAAAATTTATATGAAATATTTGAAATTATAAAATAAAACTTGATTAAAATTTTTTTGTAATCAGAATTCGTCAAAAAATATCACTCGAATTTCTAAAAATATACAACAATTATGATAAAAAGTAAAAGAAATTTTTATCACTGATAAAATATTTAAGCAAAAGTAGTAAAACTTTTATTTAAATATAGGTAATATCGTAGAAAATACTATTCATACGAGCAATTTTTTTATCTCAGAAGCTTAAGAAATCAATGTAGCAACGTGAAACGTTATGAAAGATTATATTGTCATCTAGGATCAGGCAGAGGATAAATATTATCGAAATATATCGACAATGATAAAATCCCAAATTTTTCTATATCAGCATTTTTCAAGGACTTCCATCAAACAATTTTGTTTATATAAATTCGTTCTATAAAGCAGAAGAAAAAATCGAAATGGTAAATTGTTTAATGCTCTTTTTGCTCACAATACATTTTTGAAGTAAAAGGGGAGAGGGAGAATTCGATTTAAATCAGTTTAAAATTGAATAACTGCTAGAAAAATAAAGAATTTAAACGTAAATGTGTCATATATGTTGATATATTTTCAAATATATTCATATAATCAGCAACAATCTGACATTAAATCAGCTCGATATTTGTATCGTACAGTAAATAACATGCGCATATTAAGCCCCCCATCTAATACCAATTTTGAAAATTTACATATCGGTGATGTGACAGTTTAAAAATTATTATTTATATCCTCCGATAGAGAAGAAGAAGAAGAAAAAGAAGAAAAGAAAATCTCTTTTATTTTCTAAATTCCCACATGACTTACCGGAAGAGATTGTAGATGCAAATTTTACTGGTTAGTTTTCCTCTGCAAATATCATATTTCTAAAAATTTCTCTTCAGATATCTTTTCTTTTTTATTTTATTTTTGAAATTTATGATTATTTGATCTATGAGGAAAAAATAAATAAATAAATAAACTTGTTGGTGGAATTTTACGGATGTTTTATAAATTTTTAATCTTTTAATATCAGTTATGTAAGATGATACGAAGATATCTCTTCGGTTAACTTTGATATATAAGCCTTCTATCAGTTATTCTTTATAAACGACATTAAAATATTTGAAATTTTCCAGAGCAGTAGTTAATTACAAACCATAAAAATATCTTATCTCGCATGCCAGTCAGATGTATTTATATATATTCTAAAACAGGTGATGTTTTATCAATTCTGACATTTCCTTATATATATATATATATATCTACACACATACTTTCTAATCTCTTCCTTTTATTGATTCGTGGAATAATATACCGATTTTTTCTTATATATATCTATTAAGATAACAATAACTTTGAAAATCGAAAGTGGAAATAACTCATAAAATCGTAATTTTTAGTGTGAAACTACTGCAAAATTTCCAATAGCATAAATAGGGCGAAAGATGAGAAATTTTCAAACTTATCACTGTTCTACAGAACGTTTTGTAGATTTTCACGCCTCCTTCAAAAATCACTGTCTCCCATGATGACAAGGTGCTGGATTAGGTTAGATTTGGTAGTGTTGTAACGATCCATCGATCATAAGAAATGGTGAAAGGATAGAACTTATAACTAGTGGCTGCTTCCAACCGATAACATTGAGCAAAATAGACTTTTCATGATTTCTTTACTGTACTGCGCTTTGTTCAATAATGGGTTTTGAGGTAAAAATTTAATAGAGACTTTATTTTTTTTTATTTTTTCTTTTCTCTTTATTTATTTAAAGTTTCTTCGTCTGTCGGGAGGTTAATATTTATCGAACAAATAAAAGGAATAAATGAATTATGCGCTTCCAATGTTTATACTCGACTCGCTATAAAACTGATAAATTTTAAATTAAATAGGTAAAGATGATTTTTGAGGTAGTAAACAAGCAATAAGAAGTTAAATTAATTTTTTATATCGTTGTCGATATTTTTTTTTATTGTATTTAATATGGAATTTATAACTTTTTCTTCTTCCTAACTCTACCCTACTGTCTAGCTTTCTGGCAAAAGTACTCTAATCATACCGGTCCTTGTTAGATTAATCGATAAAGGGTATTGCAAGGTCAGTTGTTATTCTTTAAACATGCAGATGTGTATGCCATACTTCCACTTAAAATTATTCTTATATTCGTGAATTTTTTCGGTAATTATGTAGAATATTCTCGCCTGTATACATAAATATATTATTTTATTTTATGGTGGATATCGCTTGTTTTCTCCGTTTGAATTTATAACCATTACAGTGGATACAGTAATTTTATTGATCTTCGAACACAACAACAAACATTTACCATAAAGTAACATTTAATTTACAATAATATAGTTCATCTAACTAATTCAATAAAGTACAGTTGACAGATGAAACGTGATTGGTTTAGTTGAATTGATTTCTCATTAGTTTTAGTTTGATTTGGTCCAATTGTATTATTTCAAACTCGACGCTTCCATTTTCTACACCTTAAAAAAGTATAATAAAATTGTAAAAAAATAAATTTAATCGCACAAATAAATATTTTAAAAGTAAAAATAAATTTAAATCAAATGAGATTTGTTCTATACCAACGAAAAAAGAGATGTAAAAATAATTAGTTTTTAAAAGCTATACCCTCGTGTTATATATATTTTTTTAATTAAAAAAAATAATGAGATGATTGTCGTTAATAATATCAACAATTAACTTTGACAATTTGTGTAAAAATTAGAAAAAAATATCACACTTCATCTGTCAATTGATCTACCAGAAAATATTCTAATTATGCAGTTTACACATGAATCGAACCATGAGATTTATCACAGCAAATTTGTCCACCATTTCATTAATTTTTCATTTAATTAAAAATAAATACTACTATATCCAAGCCTAACTTGTTTTTCCCCCATCTTTATTTAGTGTATCTTCTGCTTATTCTTGAATTCTTTTCCTAAAAAATAACGAGTGAAATTTTAGTATAAATATTTTCTTTTTTTACACAAAAATTCTTCAGCAGTTTTTTTTCTGTTTTTCTCCATTTTCCTGAACTTTTATTAAATAAAATTAATATATTTGTTTAAGAAACGTTTCATTAAATAACTATTTTATATTTATTATTTTTTATCCATTTTTTTTTNGGCCATCTGGCTTTCGTAAAATTATATAGGTTTTTAAATTTCGTATATTTTTGTAAATACACGATATAATCTATTTTTATTTATATTATTTTTTTATATTAAAAGAATACTTATGCCGAAGTTAGGCTCAGATAAATATATTATTTAACATGCACTTAACTTATTTTAATTAAAATATTCTATGGATAGATAAGGTTATTATATAAAATGGCTTAAGCTCTTATTGCTTTTGGGTAAGGGAATTTATGAATGAAGTAATTTTATATAATATTTGTACTTATTAAATTTGAAGAATATTTACGCATATCACTCACTTAAAATAAGAATTCGGAACTGAATATAAAATACATTTTTTTTTAAATTTTGGAGCATCGTCGTTTGTCGTAATGGCGGACGGTTACTATTTAGAGCAAAAATGTACTATTCTTGAGAATTATCATCAGGCATATCTTCGAAAAAAGTAGGCATGTGTATCTGTTTAATGAGCGACGTGATGCCATCTTCTTTTAACTTGCAACGGCATACGATTTTCTTAAATGCTGCTCGAAAATCTTTACTGAACATGCCGTATATTAAAGGATTTGCAGCAGAATTACAATAACCGAGCCAGAAGAAAATATTAAAAATGATATCAGAGAAACAATCGTCACAAAAAGCACGTAACAGATAAACGGTGAAGAATGGCAACCAACACAATATAAAACCACCAACAATAATTCCAACAGTTTTTGTTGCTTTGGCTTCTGAGTGGAAACGTCTCGCATGCCATCTGGCATTTCGTTTACTTATGCGTGTAAAGAAGGTCCTGTTTGACTTGCCATTGGTGGCATAAGAGGTTCCCGGTAAATTCCCTTGACACAGATTCGTCGGGGAATTGTACATGGATAATTCTTTAGTTCTAACGGGTGGATAGTATCCTCCGTTCATATCTTGCAAACTTCTACGATTCTTCACCGCTGGCTTAATTCTCACGGTGGGTAATGTAGCTTGCCCCGCCGATAAAGCTCTTCTTGGCACTATCATATCACCTTCACGTCTTACATGTCCGTAATTTTGAGAAACCGTAACGTCTGTCGAAGGTTTACCTCTGTGAATGCGTAAAGTTAGGGTATTTTCCGCATCATTTTTGCTAGTTTTAAATCCTCTTTGCAAGGCACGACTTGTTCTTATGGCAGCACGATAAATTCGCCAGTAAAAGAATAGCATTACCAGCATTGGAATGTAAAAGGAACCTAGTGCAGAGTATATTACGTATCCTTTGTTACCGATTAATGAACATTCTGGAGCAACGCATCGATCCATCATATTAGTTTCGGAATCGGTTTCGGTCCATTCTGTTAATGTTTGATTTGTGACATTAGAAAGTGCAATCGAGTCATTTGCTTCTATAAATGTTTCATTCAAAAACATTGACAATTGACTTAGGTCTAGTTCTCGAAACACATCTTCAGTTTCTGTTTGTTGATCGATAGTAACGTTCGCTTTTAACTTTCCATTAAATTTACTCCTAGAATCGTCATTCCATCCTACTAAAGGAGGGAAACAAATGAGAAATGAAAGAATCCAAACTGAAGCAATCAATAGTTTTACTCTGCGAGAAGTCATAATACTTCTATAATGTACGGGTCGCGTTATAGCCAAGTAACGATCTATACTGATAGCAACCAAGTTCAGAATTGAAGCTGTACACATCCAAACGTCTACTGCTAGCCAAATCTGACACCAGATATGACCGAATACCCATACTTCGAGTACTTCTAGTGTAATGGAATATGGAAGAACTGCAATACCAACTAATAGATCTGCTACTGCTAATGACATAATTATAAAATTTGTCACCGTTCGAAGCTTTGCGGAAGCAAACACTGCTAAAATCACTAAAGCGTTCCCAACGATGACTGCCACATTAATAATGCCCAAGAACACGATAGTTGCAATAGTTCTGGCACCTTGAAGCTTTTCAGAAATGTTCAATTCGATACATTGAACCCCCTGCTGGGGGTCATCAAAGATACTAGTAGAAACGTTAACAATATTTTCCGTCATCCTTGATCCTCGATCATCATCATTTCTTCAACTTCTGTCACTCTTCATTAAATTCAATTTTAAGTGTTCCTGTTAACGAAAAAAAACTCCATTAAAACTATTAAATTCATCGCTATAAACACATTTCTCATTACTATAGCCTTAAATTATTTAAGAATATAATATAAATATCATAAAGAAAGTCGTATAAACTATAAATTTGCATAGTTTTGCCCCCCAAAAATACCAATTCTATTAATTTAGCATAACGTAAATTACGAAACGGCACTTAAATTTAGCTGGTTAGGAAGTTATTCGAATTATAAACCATTCAGATATATTAACAATAATTTATCTATCTATCAGCGGGTACTTATCGTATACATGATATTAACATATATATTATATTACATTACAAGTTGTAATGTGTTTAAATTCAGGTAAGCATTCATGGATATAACATTCTCATGATCCTGTTCATCAAATTATCCATCGCAATTAAGAATTCGATTGAATATATTCACAATCAGACAATTCATTTGTTAATCAGCAAGTTTATAGAAGAGAAAATGAAATATCTGTAATTAAATACGATGCATTGTCACAAGATTACTATTTGACATATATCGGATTTTTGGTCTAACCTTATATCCTTACGCAACTTTTGAAGCGACGTTGATTGGATTTAGTTCCTGGCAATTAAAATAAAATATAATCAGTGCCTCTTATTATTATTATTGATTTCCATGTATTTGCGAAGCATTCATAATAAGCAATTAATAATAATATTAACCGTTTACATTTATATGTAAAGGTACGCCATGATAAGAGGAAATCCTGTTATTGGCATAAATATCAATATAATCTGGTTGTGAGAAATGTTGTTATTTATTCAATAAACTATCTTGTTTCTTGGTGGAAAAAATAAAATAAAATTTAATCTGTTAATAGGTTTCTCTATACTTACGTATCTGTAACAATTTTCTGTTTAGTAATGCTACCTTTGGGAAGAAAACCTTATACGAGACTTCATATTACAGAACAAAGAAAAGCTCTGAAAAATTATTTATAAATCGGATCCATATTTTAAGCCAAAAATATGTGTTTGAGTTTTCAAAGCTCGGATTATAAAATTATACGTCATATGTAAAAATAAAAAAGGTACAAGACATAAAACCAACTTTTAAACAATACATAAAATTAGGAATTAATCAGTTACATTTATTTTGCATATTTCTAAACACTACAGTGAATTATATACGTTTCTTTTAACTCTTCTCCCCGATGGACAATATAAGGGCCTCTTTTATGAGTTTGGTCAGGTCCACATAATATGGAGACAGGGTGGTGAAGGATCCTCTACATCCGCGAAAAATTCCTGGAGGTTTTGACCTCTCCGAATTCGATTCCGAGTCCTCCAGAGTAGTAGGATGCCATTATAATCGCTCGGCCATCTGGCTTTCGTAAAATTATATAGGTTTTTAAATTTCGTATATTTTTGTAAATACACGAAGAAAAATACTGTTTTTTAAACTTCTCTCTTATTTTTATATGGAAAGAATAGCAATATAAATTTATAAGCTAAAATAATTTAGAAAGAAAAAATTATCTTTGTCTATAGAACTAACATTGAAATTCAAGAAGGCAAAATAACATTTACTAGTTTTGGCTTATAAAGTCAAACCTCTGAACAACGGCCACTGATAGAAATATAAAGATGGACTATTTGGAGGTTATTTTTATATATTTAAAAAAATGTTCTGAAAAAAACGGCTGCTGTTTAGAGGTGGTCATTATTGCAGGTTCGATTGCATTTGCTTTTTTTTAATTTTCTACTACATTAAGCACTTTATGTTTTATTAAATTAAAACTATTTATAAAATAGCTTCACTTTTAAGTAATCATCAACTACATAAAGTTCTTAATGATTACTTAAAAGTACTGTACATAAGGTTCCGCAAGTTTATTTATCATCTTATGTAAGTAAATAATATATTGATTTTAAAATTAGATATTTACTTAAATTACATTTCATGCAGCCACAAAAATTTCGAGATTTTCTTAATAAACACTTAATTAAAATTATAAGAATAAGTCAAATTCCATTCAAATACCTTAAAAGTATATAATTTTGCTCATGTTTACCAATTAAGAATGCCACGAAATCCAAACGAAAAGCAATGTTTATAATATTTAAAATTTACAACAATTCTGTCCTAGTGTCTGTCCTGTCTCCCTTGTTATAAAACTGAGTAAAATAGAAAAAAATATCAATAATTAAATTAAGAAATCCTGTTAAAACAAACAGGAAAACTTTTCTAAATAGAATATGTTTAACGAGAAGGTGTAATAATTAGTTTATCATTATACTGTCATCAAACTGATAAGATTATCTTCACTTTGATTTCAAACAATTTAAGTGTAATTCCGGCTTAGAATAGAATTAAGTAGATTACATTCGAGTTAATTTTTATCTAGAAATACAAAACTTAATTAATTGATAATACATAATTCTTAATAATTGCCTAATTTTCTATATTGTGTACGTAAATATATTTTAAAAAATTGTATCTAAGGACTAGAAATATTTTTAAGGTATCGATTTACACCTTTCTTTTTTGGTTCCTTTCTTTCTTTCTCTTCTTTTCTTTTAAGTTTAGCAGCAGAGTAAATACATTTTGTGAGTTAGCAGACCATAGAAGATATGGCAAAGGTGGGTAAAGTTGACAATCAAACATTTTCATTGATAAATGGCGCTGTCACATCCAGGAATGGAAGCTACGGAATCATCCGTAAAACAGAAACATGTCTTCGATAGAATCGAAAACATAATATATTTTCAACTGTATTTTCAAGATAAGATATTTTACAAGTTAACATTGCCAATGAGTTACATTCAACGTATTTTTGATTCGTTTAAATCTCTTTTTCCCAAATTTTTCGGTCCACCACCCCCTTTAGTACATATATTTCTTATATTTTGTTGCTTTCCCCTTTGTCTTCAAACTCTCCTTGAATTTTCTACCAACCATAACGGAGTAGGATCTACTTTAGAAATCATTGGTTTAAATTACAATAATTACTTGATAATAAAATGTATGACCTCGATAAAAAGCAATTAAATTTATAATATATAAAGTTAATTTTCCTTATTAATCAACAGAAATTAAATAGAAAGTAAGCTATTTATTTAACATTTAGTTTCTATTAAAAGAAATGAAGGTAAGGTTAGTTTCCACGGTTAGTATCAGAGACTACATAGATCAGTTATCGATTCTCGATCATTCATTTAAAAAAAAAAGCAAAAAAAAAGTACCTTTTCAGATCATTTGTCCTCGAAATATGATTATATGTAATTGTACAGTCATAAAATTCCCTTCAGAATTGTTGATTTTTTTTTATTATCATTATTTCCGATACACAAATTGGATATATTCAAATTTAAATTTTAAGAAATTGATTTAAATCAACGTTAAATAAAATAAAATAATTTATTTATTTATTTTTCTATAAAATATTTTTATTTAAAATTGAACAAGATTGCGTTTCTGATTACTGAATTAAGTTATGCCGAGTGGATTAATAAAACAAATGACACTACCACCTGTCGTCATAATGTCATCCATGTCAGATCCATATTGTACATGTGACAAAGCAACAGTAATTATAAATACAGTTATATTCAATTAATTATAATTATCTAATATAGAAACCATATTATAGATGAAGTATATATATATATATATATTTATATATAAAAAGTACAGGTGTACTTATATTATCAATAGATGGAGCTACATGTTATTTTATAAGATTTTTTTCCCTCCACATTTATTATATACGATGGTTTATATTTTATTATTAATTAGTCTATGATTTGAAGTATTTTAAACTCTCTTTTTAAAGTTTGAACTGAACAGAATTAGCAATTAATAATTAAAATGTATATAATAAATATTATTTTACGTAGAAATTATTAGGAAAATATAATAATTAATTTATGAATTTTTCTGCGAAACTTTATTAAATAATAGAGAAAAAAATTGACGTAATGAAGAAAATATAATAGAAAAAAAACAAGGTTAAATCTTATTGAAAAAGTTTGAAAAAAAATGTTTTAAATGGTTTTTTTTTCCTTTTTTTTAAGAGAAAAGAAATGATATCAACCCGAGGAGCAGACACAAAAAATGATGATTGACAGGAAAGTTGAAATGCTGTCTGGTTTCGACCACCTGGTGTAGCCAGAAAAGTCTATACAAGTGACATCTGACACTGAGGTAGTGAAGGTGACAAACGATGGAAATTTCGTCTCATCTTCTGTTCTGGCACAAAAATCATGTTATATCATCATCTCCAGTTTCCTTCGTTAATACGTTATATTGATAAAGAAATATGGAAAGGAAACTCTTTAAATATTCGACTGAATACACTAAGAATCAACAGATAAATAATACATGATATTTATAATTTAAAAGAACTGTCAACTTGGCAGTTTTCGTTAATTGAATTATGTAATTCGCTTAATTGCTAAAATAGTTTGCATCTAATTAAATTTACAATTGTAATATTTGAAATATCCATTTAGAATTTGTTTCTTTAAATTAATAAATTCTTTCGTCTTTGATTAAGTTAGCAAATTATAATTTATTTTTCTTTCCAATATATATTTATTCATTATAAATTAATGTAAAAATTAAGGTTTATCTGAATAAAAAGAAGAATAAAACATTAAGATACGTGTTTCTAGTCCTTTATTTCTTTCTTATATCGAAGGGTGTGAACACCCTTCGATATAAGTAAGCAAGTTATACTTAACATGAATAAATTATATTTATTTATTTAAAATACAATAATTAAAAACAGTAATATGAATAAAATAAAGAGAAATAAGATCAGAATTTATCAAAATCAATAGAAAAAAGTTGGCAAAACAAAGAAAGAAAATCCGGATGAGCAAATAAACCGTTTCTATTATAAAACTGCGCTGAAGGCGATTCTACTATTTACAAGTATAAAATTTACCTTTTTTAAATGTAATATTATATTCATCTGTAGTAAATCACTGATTTAAACTAATTAAAATCAAACAT